GTGTCATGCTTTTGCTGGGTGTAGTACCCCTTCCTGGCCTCGTGGTGTCAGACTTAGTGAGTGTAGTACCCCTTCCTGGCCTCTAGGTGTCATGCTTTTGATGGGTGTAGTACCCCTTCCTGTCCTCCAGGTGTCATGCTTTTGCTGGGTGTAGTACCCCTTCCTGGCCTCTAGGTGTCACCCTTTTGCTGGGTGTAGTACCTCTTCCTGGCCTCTAGGTGTCACCCTTTTGCTGGGTGTAGTACCCCTTCCTGGCCACTAGGTGTCACCCTTTTGCTGGGTGTAGTACACCTTCCTGGCCACTAGGTGTCACCCTTTTGCTGGGTGTAGTACCCCTTTCTGGCCTCTAGGTGTCATGCTTTTGCTGGGTGTAGTACACCTTCCTGGCCTCTAGGTGTCACCCTTTTGCTGGGTGTAGTACACATTCCTGGCCTCTAGGTGTCACCCTTTTGCTGGGTGTAGTACCCCCTTTGCCAGTCATACTTTGTGGGTCACTTAGCAGTCTCTGTGTTCCTCTGACAGCTGAAGCCTGCAGCACCACAGAAGACGGGGACGAGCCTCTCCACTGCCCCACAGGGTACGAATGTCACATAATCAACCCCGGCAGCCCATCGGAGGGCATCCCGAACCGGGGGCAGTGCATCAAGCAAAGAGGAAACTCAGGTGAGACAATCCCTCCTCCAATCACGACGTTCCCCCCCACCCCCCCCCCTCCCCCCCCCCCCCCCATGTGTTCTATTCCAGACGGGAGACACCTGAGACCCAAATACACCAAAGAATATCACGGTGAGTCCCGCCTCCGAAAAATACCCCCCAAATGGGGATAATGTGGGCGGGGATACCCCATCCTGACCTCCGTGACCCCCATCATCAGATCACAGAATTCGGGGACCCGGGAAATGGGGAACCCCCAACTAGTCCCCCCTCAGTCCTGGAGCTCAGTATATAATAAGGGGCGTGTCTGAATTGATGAGACGGTCAGGGATTGGTCATCTTCCCTGTGATGGAATCCTTTAGATGGAACGGTGGGAGAACGTTCCGTAGCCCCCGGTGAGGATAGCTCCTCCCCTGTACTATCCCTCCAGCCGGTGGTGATGATGGGGGTGATGGTGACCCCGGTGCTGGCTCTGACCTCTGACCCCTCTGCATTGCAGGTGGAAATTTTAATAACGTTGTAGTCGGAGTCGATAAG